GTGTGTGTATGAGAGAGAGAGAGAGAGAGAGAGAGAGAGAGAGAGAGAGAAGACCACCTGAAATCTGTTTTCTTAGCAAAGTGCCAGTATTCAGCCCAGTATTAGGTATAATCACCATGCTGTACATGGGAACACTGACATGTGAGGGTCAGGTAGGAGAAATGGAGCCAGCAAAGGAAACTGAGAACAAGTAGTCAGAAACATAGGCAAACTAGAGAGCCTAATATCACAAAGTATGAAGAGATTTCCAGAAGGAGTAACAGTATTAGTTGCTACTGAGAGGTTGAGTAAAATAAGATTGAAGTTTGACCCATAAAAATTTCAATTAAAAGACCAAGTAACCATAATAAGCATACTGTCAGCAATAGATTGATGGAGGCAGAAGTTAGATTATCAGTGACCTGAGAAGGTGAATAGAAGGTTGAAAGAACAGATACACTATTTTCTTATGCTTCTACACTGCCCTGCACTGTCCTTGCATAAACTACATACTCCTTGATTGTGAGAAAATCCTAGTGTTTCAGAGATGAAAGGAAATCTTGTTGTTGTAAAAAAGAAGAGAACAAAGTCCAGAGAGTGTTAATGACTTACTTGTCTGGCTAGCCAAGTTCATATGGAAAATTGCTGGCAGAGTTAAGACTGGACCACTTTCTTTTTTTTTTTTTTAATTTTTTTTTTTAATGTTTATTTATTTTTGAGAGAGAGAGAGAGAGAGAGAGAGAGACAGAGACAGAGCACGAGCAGGGGAGGAGCAGAGAGAAAGGGAGACACAGAATCTGAAACAGGCTCCAGGCTCTGAGCTGTCAGCACAGAGCCCGATGTGGGGCTTGAAGTCACAAACCGTGAGATCATGGCCTGAGCCGAAGCCGGACGCTCAACCGACTGAGCCACCCAGGTGCCCCAAGACTGGACCACTTTCTAAGTTCAGTGGTTGGAAATACAGGCTTGGGAGTCAGTTAGATCTAAATTTGAACCAACATTTAACTGGGAACCTTGGGCAAGTCACTTGGCAAGTCACAAGCCAAACTTGGGCATTAGTTTTCCTTGTCTGTTCGATGAAGATAATAATAGCGTACATTTCATGTAGGAAAATTAATACTTGGCACATAGTAAGGACTCCATAATTCTTTTGCCTTAAAAAAAAGTCTTAAAGAGCATGCCCTTTTGCATTTCATTTATTAATAACAATGAGAATATGAAGCTATACAAAGGAAAATTAATATTTTGACAACACATTTCAGAGATGAAAAGCATTCTTCCTTACTGAGTTTAGAGTTACAGATAGTGTCTCATACACATCTTCCTACTAAAGCTGTATGGGTGCTTAAAAGAAATAATCTGCTGTTATTGTAGTGAGGGTAGGAACTTCCTACAGGATTAAGAAATTTTGTAGCCAAATTGTAAAATTACATAAAATTTTGTGAGATCAGCACTGTATTAAATGAGGATATAGAGATATCTGCCAAAGAGATATCTGTCAAAGAGATTATTGCCTTGTAGGGGAGAGAAACAAACCAACAAATTACATGATGTTTATACATGGTCAGTGAGGGCCTGAAGGAGGGTGAGTGGCAGCTTCTGCTGAGTGGAGAAGGACCCAGAAAAGACTTCAAGAAAGAGGGATGGTTTGAGCTGAATCTTGGAAGATGAAAGTGTGCGAGCAGGGGAGGGTTTCTGAACGAAGTAAAGAGCAGCATGTTTAAAGATCTGGAGGTATTGAAGTAGCACATTTGGGGAAGCACTGTACTTTTTGGAGCCTAGGATGAAATAGGGACAAGAGGAGAGCAATGAAGCCGAACAGAAAGTCAGGAGTGAGATCATGGAAGGCTTTGAAATTTGGACTTGTCTCGTAAGTGATGGGAATCGTTCCAGGATTATGATTTGAATTTTGATAACTCTTTACCATGTCATTTTAAAGGCATACTCCTACAGGGCAGTAAATGCATGCTGAATCTTAAACAGGCATTGCACTTAATCACCCACATGACACTGGAACCTAAAACTAGGGTTTGTGTAACTGGGAATGCATCTAGGTAGACGGGTTAAGAGGCTTTGGAAGTAAAAGAAAGTACAAGAAATTTGTTGTAAATGTATTCAGTTATTGAGCGTGCATTATATGCTGAACACTTTCACGTCTTTTAGCTTATTGTTCCTCACCACTGTTATTCCTATTACCCAGATAAGGAAAAAATGAGTCTTTTGGTTAAGTGAGTCCTTGCTCGAGGTATGTAGCAAGTCACTGGCAGAGTCTGAAATTGAACTCCTGTCTTTAACTCCAGTGTTCTTTCTGTTGTAGAAAAACCTGTATTATAGGCATTGTCAGTAGACCCTCTTCAGCCCTTATGAGTAAACTGTGTGCATCTTTGCCCTTCCTTGATGCTGATGCAGAGGCCAAGAAGCCAGAGTAATCCAAAACAGCCTTGAAACATTTAGTTCACCGTGGTCAAACTAGCACTGGGGGAGACCCGCCAGTAGCTACTATCCCTTCTGTGGCATGCCACCTAATCTGACTGGTTTTACATGGCTGGAGTCCGATCTAAGTAACAGGACTAGGAGGCAGGGAGGTTTGGGATTTGCAGAATTACTGGAATAGGTTTTCTTCCCCCTCAGTAATACACTTCATTCACATGTGTTTCTTTTAATATTTTGTAGGTTTACCTTAAGGTAAAGGAGCCTGTATTCCATCAGGTAAATTAAAAAACTATTAACACTTAATTGTTTAACAGTACTTGCCTGCATTTCGTTTCCTTTTCTGGTAAATTATATGCAGATATAATTTCTGAAAATAAAGTGGTAGATGTCCTATGAAAGTATTTAAAACAAACTCAAGTGCCTATAGGATATCAATGCCCAGACCCAGCTGGCTGTAGTCGGTAACGCAGGTGCAGTGTTCCTTATAAGCAGAAAAAAACCAGAGAGCATTTATACACATACACATACACATACACATACACATACACATACACATACACATACACATACACATACAAAGTCCTTTTTATGACACTATTTTCTAGAAAAGATAGACTGAAAATTCCTTGAATATTTTCCCCCTAATGCCTATTTTAATGAGTTTTTTGAGGTGGGAGGTTAATTTACATTGAGAAAAGCAAACACAGGAAACTTTGCTATAGGAAATAATGATTTAAGTGCATCCCATAGTGGAACCAGAGTAAAATCAAGTAGTAGACCCTAAATAAAGAGAGCCCTTTTTTTTTTTAATTTTTTTAACGTTTGTTTATATTTGAGACAGAGAGACAGAGCATGAATGGGGGAGGGTCAGTGAGAGAGGGAGGCACAGAATCCGAAACAGGCTCCAGGCTCTGAGCGGTCAGCACAGAGCCTGACGCGGGGCTCGAACTCACGGACCACGAGATCACGACCTGAGCCGAAGTCGGATGCTTAACCGACTGAGCCACCCAGGCGCCCCATAGAGCTCTTGTTAATTGAATGCTACCATGTGCCTGGCACTATGCCCATTACTGCACAGACTCTAATCTTTCCAGCAGTTCTACGAATTAGGGATTATTATTCACATTTTAAGGGAAGTAAGCTCAGAGATATTAAGAATTTGCCCAACAGTTACACAGTTACTAAGGGACAGAGCCAGGATTGTAACCTAGATTTGTTTGACTCTTGTCACCATTCTTTTAAAAAGCCAGCAAACAAACAATACATAAATAAGGACACATTATCAGAAGCCTTGTAATTTTAGAATATTTTGTGCTTATATAAAAAGTAAGTGTTCCTGTAACTTTTTAAACTTGAACTAGATAATAATCATCTAACTGAAATCTGTTTTTTGAAACAAATTCCAAAACCACATTATTGTGCCACATTATTTTTCTACAGACAAGCTGAAAGTAAGTGTTATAAGACAGGACATCTTCACTTTCCTGTTTGTTTGAGCTTAAAGTAGGTCATTATGGAATTACCTCTTAGAAAGATTTATTGGCACAGCGTAAAGAATGAAGTTTATAAGAATACTTCGGCTTTTGTAAATTTTTTATTTGTCTTTATAAGAAAGAAAAAAACATAGCCACAAAAAAATAAAATTCAGAAATTTGAGGTTAATTTTTGTAAGTTTATGACCATCCATTTTCCATTTTGTGTTTTAGATCTATTTTATACTATGGTTATGTAATAAAAGTATCAAACTATTTGTGTAACTTCCCATGCTGCAACTTTCATGTGTTCTTTTCCCAGTAATAAATTTTTTTTCTCTATGGATAGTGGTATGTATGGATGTATGCTGATAGGGAGGGAGGCAGGATGAAAGCTTATAGTTCTGTGTTTTGTTTTGTTTTGTTTTTTTTAACGTTTATTTATTTTTTTGGGACAGAGAGAGACAGAGCATGAACGGGGGAGGGGCAGAGAGAGAGGGAGACAGAATCAGAAACAGGCTCCAGGCTCTGAGCCATCAGCCCAGAGCCCGACGCGGGGCTCGAACTTACGGACCGCGAGATCGTGACCTGGCTGAAGTCGGACGCTTAACCGACTGCGCCACCCAGGCGCCCCTATAGTTCTGTGTTTTATCTCAGGCCTTCTCAGGAGAGAAGTAAAGAAGTAGAGGAATGCTAGGGTGAAATGGATAAGTAGTCTGAAGGCAGAAGACATTCATTCAACAGATGTCCACTGTGTACCTTCTCAGTGCCAAATACTGAGCTGGAAGTTGGAAATAGAGAGGCAATAGAACAAGAATTTGAAGATAAAGTCAGGCGGACGTGGATTTAAATCTGGTCTCTCCAATTACTAGCTGTATACACTGGACAAGTTACTTAACTTCTTTGAGCTTTGGTTTCCTCATTATTCCACAAATACTTTTTAAGTGCCTTCAATATGCCAGGTATGGTACTAGGTATAAGAGATACACTATTGAATAAAATGATAAGGTCCCTGCTCTTGAGAGCTTATTATACTGTGTCTCTAAAATTGGTATAATAATTTCCTAAGGTTGTCTGAGGATTAAATGAGCTAATACAAGGGTGCTCAGTTGGTAGAACATGCGACTCTTGATCTCTGGGTTGTAACTGAGTGCTGTGAGGAGTGTAGAGATTACTTAAAAATAAAATCTTTTTAAAAATAAATCAATAAAAAAATGAGATAATGTATATCTCCTACCATGGGAAGTACTCAGTAAATGTTAATTAATATTAAGAAACCAAAGCAAATGAGACAGGGTCGCTGGTCTCAAGGAACTCGCTGGTCAGGAAGATAGACTTGTAAAAAAATATTTATGGGGCGCCTGGGTGGCGCAGTCGGTTAAGCGTCCGACCTCAGCCAGGTCACGATCTCGCGGTCCGTAAGTTCGAGCCCCGCGTCAGGCTCTGGGCTGATGGCTCAGAGCCTGGAGCCTGTTTCCGATTCTGTGTCTCCCTCTCTCTCTGCCCCTCCCCCGTTCATGCTCTGTCTCTCTCTGTCCCAAAAATAAATAAACGTTGAAAAAAAAAATATTTATAGGGGCCTGGGTGGCTCAGTTGGTTAAGCGTCTGACTTCAGCTCAGGTCATGATCTCACGGTTTATGGGTTTGAGACTCGTGTTGGGCTCTAGGCTGACAGCTCAGAACCTGGAACCTGCTTTAGATTCAGTACCCCCTCTCTCTCTCTGCCCCTCTCCTGCTTGCACTCTGTCTTTCTCTGTCTCTCAAAACTAAACAAATGCTAAAAAAAAATTTTTAAACATTTATAGTATATACATCTCATAATGTGTAAAAGCAGTGCTAACCAGGGTGCAATCTGTCTGCTTGGGTGACTCAGAATAGGGCTATAAAATACATCTGTTACATATAGCTGAATTATTTCTTCCTCTTATATTAAAAAGCAAGATAGGGAAGATGGCCCACTATATTTCCTGCTATTTGTAAAGCTTTATTTGAACAGGCCTTTGTCCCAAAGTCTAATCTAGAATATCCTATGCTGACCTGTTAAGTAATTAGAATTGATTTTCTTCTTTTTACGTAAGCTCTGCACTCAACGTGGGACCTGAACTCACAACCCTGAGATCAAGAGTCACATGCTCTACCAAATCACCCAGCCAGGCACCCCAGAATTGATATTTTTTATTTATACTTAATGGCTTAAAAAAAATCTATCCCTAATTAGTTTCTTGGTATCTTTCTTAAGAAAATAAGACTGCTTTTTCTGAGAAACTCTGTTTGTCAAAATTTGTAGAGTATCACTCATTCTTTCATATCACTGTTAATATGTACAGACTTAGAAAAATATTTTTGAAGTCTGTAATTGGAAAAATTGTTTTGGAATTTGTGGCAAAGTTTACAGTAAGTCTCAAGATCTTAAAAATAAATGGAAAAAGAGGGAAGAGAATAATGTTATCTAATCTAAAGGAGCTCTGGCTTGAGTGGAATCTCAGTTTCTTACCACTTTGATGGCTTGAAGTTTGGAATCTTGTATTTTTTTTTAATGTTTATTTATTTTTGAGAGAGAGAGAGAGAGAGAGAGAGAGAGAGAGACAAAGTGCAAGCAGGGGAGGGTCAAACCCACGAACCATGAAATCATGACCTTAGCCTAAGTCAGACACTTAACCGACTGAGTCAGGAATCTGACTCACCCAGGAATCTCAGATTTCTTAACACTTTTATTATCCATGGACAAATTTCTTGTTGTGCCTATTCTTCAGTGTCTCATCTATAAAATGTTTAAGACAAGGAGAGGGATTATTTCACAAGGATAATATAAAAATAATATACAAGGAAAAGCATAAGGCAGTATAATATGACACTAAAAATACATATGAAGAAGTAAGATGACACAGGAAAGTTTCTGTCTATGATAATCACAGAAAGCTTCTAAAAGGAGGTATTTGAATAGGGCCTAGAGAGATAAGTGGGGTATACAATTAGAAGGAAAGAGTTAATAAACACTGTAAAAGTATCTGTCACAGCCAGGATGGTTATCTTGCTAACCAGATTAGCTTCCTTGAGGGAGAGAATACTGATAACAATTCTGCTTACTGATTTAAATCCAAAGTGATCCAGACATCTCCAAAAGAGAGCCAAATGCTATTTATTTAATTTGATGGCCTTGCAAAGGGTAATAATAAAATCATATGGCTGCCACATTCAGTAGAAATATTAATATATCTTAAGAAAACATTAAAAAAGTATACATGAAAGTAGATTAAAAGAAGTTAGTAAACCTTCTTTAAGCTAATTGATAAATCAGTAATTGAATATCTCAGATGAGATCTCCTCTGTTATCTCAAAGAATACTATTGCTTAAAATCTTCCTGCCAAAGTAGATGTCTCCTAGAGATTATTTCTAGACTTGACATGTCAGTATTTTACTACCCTCCCTTCTGATTTGACCCTCAAGGTTTAAAAAAAATTTTTTTTAACGTTTATTTATTTTTGAGACAGAGAGAGACAGAGCATGAATGGGGGGAGGGTCAGAGAGAGGGAGACACAGAATCGGAAACAGGCTCCAGGCTCTGAGCTGTCAGCACAGAGCCCGACGCGGGGCTCGAACTCACGGACTGCAAGATCATGACCTGAGCCAAAGTCGGCCGCTCAACCGACTGAGCCACCCAGACACCCCAGACCCTCAAGGTTTTTAAGAAACAACACACTATATAAACAGTTTGAAAAACAGGGACTTAAGCAGATAACTCAAGCAAATAACTATTATTTACATTTTATTCTGTTATGTTTGTGCCATTTTATTATAAATTA